TTTTTTCCCCTTAGAAATGAGAAAAAAGGGCACATTCCTTTCCCAACTATAGAAAAATAATTCGACTGAGAAATGTGAAAAGGCATGAAGTGCAATTCAGTCCCTCTACTTTGATTGTTATGGCACTTAGCCCCCATACTTGGAAGTAGTGCAAATTGATCCTCTTACTTACCAAAACCAACAAATCAACCCTTCTGTTAATGATGACATCACTTTTCCATGACCATCACTACTGCCCTATTAAACTCTGCTTATGTGGCACTAATTGGGTGTGATGTGGCAACTTATTTAATAACTTCGCGCCCTCTTTCTCCTTTCCTTGTTGGCATGGTCCCCACTTTAATATCAATGTAAAAAATTAAAGTTAAACTCAACATAGGATGATATTAGTTGGGTAGATATAAAATTAAAATAAATTTCTATTTTTCCATGATAATTAAAATAATGATAAAAATACAATAAATGTATTTAATGTGTGCACTTAAAACATATGTTAGGAAAATCTTTAATTTTAAAATTAGTTTTTTTAGACTATATCTTTATATATTAAAGGTATAATAATTACACTTTTTGTAATTAAATTGTATAGAAAATATAAATGTTGATTTTGGTATAATCAATTGACCAATTAAAACTTTACATATGATTATGGTGATAAAATAAATGTCAACTTTTATAGTTATATGTAAATTAATTGTAAAAATATACATTTATTAAACCCTTAATATATGCCCTTAAAGTTTAAAGCAATGTTAGAGAAACCATTTTAAAATTTAATAATTTTGATTTTATAATTAATTATATGGTTTTCTAATCTCGAACCTAAGTTAAGCTTACTTTTTCATCATAATTTTGTATAGAAAAATGTAAAAGTTGAAATTAATCTTAGTATGGTTGTCACATTGATGAATTTAATTAAATGATTGATAAATTGAAGGTTAACTTTTGTTTTTTCAATATAAATTTATTATAAAAAATATATTTATTATACTTTTAACATGAAAGATATAGATTAAAAAAATCCTCAATTTTATGTTTTCAAAAAAATTAAATACAATATATATTGTTTTGTTTTTAAAATTTTTATTCAAATAATACTGTGCAAATTATGGGTGCCATGTTGTAAAAAAATTGCCATGTCATGCTCAGTCAGTGCCACATAAACAGAGCTTAATGAGGCAATAGCAATAGCCATGGAAAAGTGACGTCATCATTAATAGAAGGGCTAATTTGCTAGTTTTAGTAAGTGGGAGGGTCGACTTGCACTACTGTAGAGGGTCTTAAATGCCACAAAAATCAAAATAGAGGGGCTGAATTGCCCCTCCTGCCATGTGAAAATGGGAAACTTTTTCCAATTGAGAATTCTAAAGGCTGATCTGTTCTAGTTTCTGTAACGGGGGTTCTAATAAGGGGCTTTTGAGAAAGTTTTTCTTTGTTTCTCTGTATTTAATCCACTTCCTTTCTCTAGTTCCCAGCCAGAACTGGTGTTCACAGAATGTTTATTGGACAGGGGAAAATTCACCAGTAACAGCACCTACCAGGCAAGCCTCAATCATATCTTCTCTTCCTTCACCTCTGACATAGAAAATAATTATGGGTTCTACAATGTTTCTTTTGGCCAAAACTCAGACCAAGTTAAACGCAATTGCCCTCTGTGTGGGTGATGTAATACCTGGTGAATGCATTAACTGCATCAACGATGCTGCTGCTGAGCTCAGAAGTCTCTGTCCCAACCAGAAGGCAGCAATTCTATCGTATGTCAATTGCATGTTGCGATACTCAGATCGTTCCCAACTCAAGCCTTGATCACTTTATACTCCGTGCGTTCTCTCTTCTTTTCACTTTAAGAACCAATACGTGTGTTTTTATTTATGATGCACGAGTTGAATTTGCTCGAAATATTGTTTGTTAGAGGAAATGTGTGTTAGTATCATATGTCATTTGCGATAGTAGTGTTCTTTCTCTAATCTATTTAAACACATTAATTTTGTAATTTTGTAGATCCTATCAAACGTTTACTACTGGATTAGAACAAAAGATACAAAGTTAATAGGGAGAATAGCTAGAGGGATTTTGTACCTTCACGAAGATTTTCAATATCAAATCATCCAATGTGATTTAAAAGCTGAAAACATTCTATTAGATGTAGAAATAAATCTTAAAATTTTAGATTTTGGAATGGCAAGGTTATTTGCAGGGGATCAAACGCAAGCTAATTGGAGTAGAATTGCAACAAAACTATATGTATAAGAATCACCTTGTAGTTACAGCTTTTGTGTAGTCCAAATAAATGGATCCTCACTTTAGCAATTGCATCTAGTAGATATGTGGCTCTAGAGTACATGACTGTTAAGATGTGAACACACTTATTATAAATATTTTATATCTTAGAATATTCTATTTGTTTACTTTATACCTTAAAATATTATCTTTGTAAACACCTATGTATAAGTCATTGTACATATAATATTATTCAAGAAAGCAATAAATCTTTCTTCAAATTCTTCTTCTTCTTTTTTGTTTCTAACACAGTATTAGAGCTATAAGCTCCTGGTTCTTTTCTCTTATCATCACTATTTGATTTTTTTTGGAGTTGGATTTTCAAATCCATTCCAAATCTGAAACTTTATCATTGGGATCTCTTCTCCTATAGATTGGATTGTTTATTCTCAATTCTCAAGCCCTTTCTAAGGTATTTTGTTGGTTTGTTATTTCGATCTTGGCATCTATTTCTTCATATTTTAGAGTTTTTCAATATTGTGAGTTTTATTGATTCTATGGCGAGTTTTGAAAGGATCATAACTCATCCTGCTACTGCTATGGTTGCCAAAGAAGTGATAGACCAGCCTAATGCCAACCTTGAATCCCTAAAACAGGTGATATTAAATCTTTTTAATATTCCTATTGCTTTATCTACTGCTCCAAGTACCAAACCTTGGTATTTTGATTCTAGTTGTTGTAATCATATGTCTTCAATTACTACTCATTTCTCTTCAATATCACCAAATAATTCCTTTCCTGATATTTATTATATTAATGGTTCCCCTATGAATGTTAGTTACATTGGCAATATTTCTACAAAGTCATTGACTTTACCAAATGCCCTCTTAGTTCCAAAACTTAGTTATAATCTTCTATCTATTAGTCAATTATGTGATCTTGGTCTTGAAGTAACATTTTTTGCTCATGGTTGTCGTGTGCAGGATCCACGGATAGGACCACTTCTTAGAACTAGTCACAAGGTGGGACATTTGTTTGCACTCAACTATCTACATATTCTTGATCATAAAATGGATATACCATCATTTCCAAATGATCAATTCATTCAAACCCTACTTTATGCTATTGAATTAGAGTCTTTGCAAATTCCATACCAACAAATCTTTTAGCTTGTGCTGTTACTAACATTTCTCCTCTTCATTTGTGGCACTCACAGCTCGGACATACCTCAGTCAGTAAACTTCGTCCACTTATCTCTTGTGGTTTATTAGGATCTATTCCAAATGAATCTTTGCATTGTGTGTCATGTCAATCTGCAAAACAACTAGCTATCTTTTTTTAGTAGTCATTCTTTTTCTACTGCTTCTTTTTATCTTGTGCATTCTAATGTTTGGGGTCTATCTACATCACCTAACATGGGGGGTTCTAGGTACTTTGTGTCATACTCATTTTATCTAGATATATCTTATGAAAAACCGCTCTGAGTTACCACAAATTTATATTGATTTTGCTACCATGGTCAAAACCCCATTCTCTAACATTATCAAAGTTTTGAGAACTAACAATGCCACTGAATATCTTAGTACTAAACTTCACTCTTTTCTCAAAGAATAGGGTACACTAACACAACAATCCTATCCTTACACTTCTAAACAGAATGGGTGAACTGAACGCAAACATAGACATATCCTTGATTTTGTTTGTGCTTTGCTCATTTCTTCTTCTTGTCCAAAGTGATTTTGGGGTGAAGCTGCTCTTATAGCTATTTATCTCATTAATCAGATTCCATCCTCAGTGATCAATAATAAGTCTCCATATGAATGTTTACATGGTATTCCTCCTGCTTATGATCTTCTTAAGGTTTTTGGTAGTGCTTGTTTTGTTCTTCTTCCACCTCATGAAGATAACAAGCTAGAGCCTAAAGCTTGATTATGTTGTTTTTTGGGTTATGGGATTACACAGAAAGGATATCGTTGTTGGGATCTTGTGTCACAAAACCTTCGGGTCTCACGTCATGTTGTGTTTTGGGAACACACTATATTTTCCTCGTTATCAAACTTCTAGGTGTCATCTTTTGATCAACCTCCATTTTTTACTAATCTTTCTGTTGAGTTATTCCTTAGTGATTCTGATGCAGGTACATTTGATGAGCTCTACAATGCCTTACCACATGCTTCAACTAGTTCTACAAAAGATGATCTGCCTACTGGTAATGCATTAGATAATTTTGAGCCTTCCTCTACTTCCTCATCTACTTCCTCATCTATATCACCTATTGATGTTGCATCTGATATTATTGAATCTACAAATGAGCTTGTTGTCCCATCCTCGAGTCATCCTACTCGGATAAGAGACCTTCCTAATTACCTTCACGATTATCATTGTTTTCCTGCTATTACTTCTGTATATGAGCCTTAATCATATCAAGAGGCCTCTGCTAACCCTCTTTGGCTACGAGCTATGCAAGATGAATTACAACCTCTTGAGAACACTGTACATGGGATTTAGTTGATTTCCTTGCTAAAAAGTCTCTAATAGGCTATAAATGGGTGTGCAAGATAAAAACATGATCTAATGGTTCTGTAGAGCATTATAAGACATATCTGGTTGCCAAGGGTTTTCCACAGGAGTATGGAATAGACTATGAGGAAACATTTGCTCCAGTTGCTCGTCTTATAACTGTGCATAGTTTGCTTGCTATTGTTCTTATATGGAGATGGAAATTGTTTTAGATGGATGTGCAAAATGCTTTTCTTAATGGTGACCTAGAAGAAGAAGTTTATATGAAACCACCTCCTAGGTTCAACCATCCTCCAAACAAGGTATGTTGATTACAACGTGCATTATACGGGTTGAAACAATCCCCTCGAGCTTGATATGCAAAGTATAGTGCTACTATGACTAACTTTGGTTTTACTTCGAGTCCACTTGATACAGCTCTGTTCATTCATAAGACTACTCGGGGTATGGTTCTTTTACTTCTTTATGTTGATAACATGATTATTACTAAAGATGATATCGCAAGTGTTGAAGAGTTAAAACAATTTCTTAGTCAAAAATTTGAGATGAAAGATCTTGGTGTTTTGAGCTATTTTCTAGGGCTTGAAGTCACCTCTTCAAATGATGGCTACCTGCTTTCTCAAGTAAAGTATGCCTCTGATCTTGTTTCTAAAGCTAAACTCAATGATAACAAGAGTGTTTCTACACCTCTTGAGCCTAACGTCAAACTTACTCCCTATGGATGGCTCTCCACTTTCTAATCCTACTCGCTATCGATAATTGGTTGGTAGTCTAGTTTATCTTACCACGACACACCCTGACATAGCATATGCAGTTCATATTGTTAGTCAGTTTATGACTGCTCATTGCTCCACTCATTATGCAGCAGTATTTCGCATTATTCACTATGTTAAGGGAACATTATTTCATGGACTTCACTTTTCTGCTCACTCATCTCTTAAACTTCGTGCTCACTTAGATGTTGGTTGGGTTGGAGACTCTAATGATCGTAAATCCACCACTGGATATTGTCTTTTTCTTGGTGATTCTTTAATCTCTTGGTGTAGCAAGAAATAAACAATTCCATCACATTCTAGCATAGAGACCGAATATCGAGCACTTGGAGACACCACATTAGAGTTATTTAACTTACATTGGCTACTAGAAGATATGGGCGTTCCTCAACCGCCTGCTACTAATCTTTATTATGACAATCAGAGTGTCACACAGATTGCTCATAATGACGTCTTCCATGAATGCACTAAACACATTGAGGTTGATTGTCACTTTGTTTGCCATCATGTTGCACGAGGAACCGTTCATTTGGTTTTCATTGGTTCTGTTGATCAACTAGTAGACTATTTCACCAAGGCTCATTTTCCTGGACGCTTTCGTACTCTTCTTTCCAAACTCAAGTTGGTTAAGTTGATTTCATCACAACCACCTTAAGTTTCGGAGGGGATTTTAAGATGTGAACACACTTATTGTAAATATTGTATACTTTGGAATATTCTCTTTGTATACTTTATACCTTAAAATATTCTCTTTGTAAACACCTATATATAGGTCATTGTACACACAATATTATTCAAGAAAACAATAAACCTTTCTTCTAATTCTTCTCCTTTTTTTCTGTTTCTAATAGTGACAAATGAGAATTTTTCAATTAAGTCTGATGTTTATAGCTTCAGCGTACTAGTTCTCGTGATTACTAGTAGTCAAAAAGTCTATCTCAGTAATGGAGAAGAAGGAGAAAATCTTCAAACTAATATTAGTTATACTTAACCTTAGCTTCATTTTGTTGTGTTCTAAGAGTCAAATAATCATGCCAAGAATCAAGAGACTTTATCTTAAGGCTAAAGTACATGGAGATTTTTCAATCTATGCAGGTAGGGAAAAATTGGATGGAAGGGATTGCTTTGAAATGTTACAGATCCCATCTTAAGGGATGGTTAAAGGAGCGAATTGTTGAGATGCATGCAGGCAGGCTTACTATGTGTTCAAGAAAATGTTGCTAGAAGGCCAACCATGGCATCTGTTGTTTTCATGCTTAGTAGCAATTTCGTATATCTTCAAGTGCCCTCAAAACCAGCATTTCTTATGCACTCTATCACTGAGCTAGAGTCCTTAGCATCTCAATCCAGAAGAAGATTTCGATGATATCACAGTGAATGAGGCTACAATATCTGATTTTGATCCGATAGAGTTTGTGATTTGAGCTTTAAATTTATAGTGCTTATGTGAATCATCAACATTATCTTGACTTTGTACCATGTACCAGGTTTGTTTGTTTTACAGAATTCCA